GAGACTTCCTGGGGCAGGTAAGCCTGGGGAAGACGGGCAAAGAGAAGAAAGGGTTTTCCTGCCCAAATGTGTGTGTATGAGGAGTGGAGGAGGTCAGCAGCAAAGGCACAGGTGCAGAGGTGGAAATATGTGACACACAGTTGCTGCTGCCTTCAGGGTCTCTGAAAAGCGCAATAGGATCTAGAGATAAGTAGTCTGGGGACAGACTAGAAAAGCCTTGAATGCTAAGGTAAAGTGCTTGTTTTTTGTCTTTCCTTGTAGTCCTTGGGAGCCTCTTCATGGTTCCAAGAGGTTTTAAGTGAGGTTTTAGGCAGATCACTCTGGTTTTGGAATGGATGAGGGTTCAGACCAGGAAGCGTTAAGAAGCCCTTGCGGCTGCTCTGGAGGGAGGTGATGTGGACAAGCTGAAGTAGGAGGAAAGGAGGAGGCAGATCCAAGAGACCTGAAGGGACAGAAGAGCCAAGGCCGGGCGACTCTCTTTCATTCACAAATATTTACTGTGTGCCTATTTGTGCCAGGCACCTCTAGGTGCTGTATGAGGTAGAAGGTTCTGAGGCCGAGGATTATGTATTCTGATAAAGTCAGGATGCTTAGGGCACACCTGTGGCTGTGTCACTTACAGGAACCTGGACTACAAGTAGTGCAGTATAAGCGACGGTGGTGGTGGTGAGGTCCGCTGAGAGACGTGTTTAGGACATGTTTGAAACTAGGAGAAGAACTGTTCAAAGCACTGGGCGTGATTGGTGGGGGAGGCCTGGGGCAGGGACAGGGGCTTAGAAGGCAGGCAGCGAGTAGATCAGCCTACTGATCAGATCAATAGATCTGGGGTATTTGAGACCAGAGCGGCTGCAGGCGGAAGGAGCGCTTGGGAGCGGTCACTCCAGCCCTGGCCCCTAGGGCAGATGGGGGATGCTGATGGCTCCTTCCCAGAGCCGCAGGGCCGGGTAGAGCGGCTCCTGGAAGGCGGCCCGGAAGGTGTGCAGGTGGCTCATGCCTCCCGTCACGTCATAGAAGGCGAGGACGCCAGCCTCGTAGTCCAGGAAGACGCCGAGCCGGTCGGGGTCGTCGTGGGGCCGCAGGCGGCTGCGCTGGCCGTCG